ATCTAACAATTGTACAATTTTGCCGTTACACAATTTGTAAAATAGGGCTGTTACACCCGGTATATACCGTATTTTCTGGCCTACATAACACACGTTTTCCTAAAAAATACCCTGAAAAATATGTGTGCATCTTCCAAGACGAATGTAGGGCAACGCTCAGACTCAAGTAACTTTGGACAGGCACCTAATTGGCTTGACTGATAGGTATGTGAATTTGTATGTTGAGTCCTTACACTATAATGTTAGCTATCTATATAATTCAGCCTTTTATATGATTTAACCTCAGTACTTAGCTGTTACAAATATTTTTAAGACTATAAATCTTCCTGGAGCCAAGTCACAATCTTAAACATGCTCTGTTCACTGGCAGTGGTGGGAGCCTTTCTGCTCTTAACTAGTATGTCATTGCCATACAAACAAAATCTGACGAGCGATTAATGTAAACAATACGTGGCAACCGTATATGAGGAACATATGGGGAATTTGTTGTTGTATAAGAATAACTTCATTTTTTCTTAGAAAATTCTTTCTAATATTAGGGTGCGTCTTCCAAGCCACAGCGTTTTATAAGCCGGAAGTTATGGTGTATACGGCAGAAAAGGAAGAGTTGATTTTTTTATTTATTTAACTTTTCCAGTATTTTTACGTTTTTCCGTTTTGTAGAAATAAGAGGGATTATTTTTTCATAGTTTTCATTGTCGCAAGCACGTTCGGTCAGCTATTTAGCCATTTTCAAGGGTATTCAAAATGTCTCCACTATTTACACCCTCAAAACTGAAAAACTAAATAAAAATTAAATCTTCCTTATCTGCCATAATTAATGAAATATGTCTAAAAGAAAGTTTGCTTCACAAACATACATATATATGTATACATATAAAAACATGGACAGATGAAAAGCACTCAAAACTATTAATTTCTCAGAATATCAGCAAATGCTTTTCACAATTGAAATTATCTTTGTATTTTTTATTTCATTCTGAAATAAGTTAAGCTTTTTCGAGTAGCTAAATGCCTGCTGTATGGGGCAGATAGCTATGTTTTCTTCACTGAGTTCTGGGTTGCTGTTTAAATCTGGAGGGGGAGGGCAAGATCTAAATACATGCCAGTATTCCAAATGCCAATTTTTGAACTCAGAGTCTTGTCCCACTTGGAAGAATGCTGTGCAATCATCGGTCTCACAATTCCGTCCAAGTTGGTAAATATCGGAGATTTCTTTTTTTTTTTTTTTCAGTTCTTCTGTGTTAATAATTATTTGCGCCAAGGTCCAATACATTCCAATTTGGCATCTGCATAAGTTCTGTGAAAGTTGCTATTTCGGATCAGGGTTGGTCTGATATTCAAATTCATCATTTTCCTCATTTAGGCAGTGCACGTCATAATTCCGAAGTCCCTGTTCTGAAGAGGAAGTAAACAATGAAGTAAACAATGAAACGAGGAGGGATAAAATACAAAGTAAAACAAAAGGACCTACCCCCGAAAAAAAAAAACCAAAACAAAGGAAGGTAAATACAAAGATTAGAAAGAATTCACGAAAAAGAAAGACAGGAATGAAAATAACTGATTAAAAAAAAATAAAGAAATATAAACGAACATGAAGGAAACATGATAGAAGTGATGAAGGAACAATAGGAATTGATAAGTAGGCCTATCGCCTGGTTCACATTCCTCCCCAGTCTTTGAAACAGGAGTAGGGGTTTATCCTTTGTTTCCTGTTTAGGATTGGGATGCAGGTTCCGCCTAAAGTCTACTGCAGCTCCATACTCCCTAATGCTTGACATTTTACACTAATAAATCTTCATACACTAACACTCTACCTTGAGCGGCTCTTGGGCCTTGTATTGAGCGATTAGTAATAAAAGACAAATAAATGAATAAGAATATATATATATATATATATATATATATATATATATATATATATATAAATGGAAATGACATAAACGGTGTGTTTAAAAACCTACAGGAACAGTTCCTGTCTCACCTGACAGAGTTTACAAAACTGGCCAGGCCCTGTACAAAGGATCTTAGTTTGCCACATTTACAACAACATTTGCAAGACACACACGCTTCATGAGCCATTGTCATTCTCACAAGAACCAAAAACATTGATTAAATTTGCCAGAAGCAATGGTCCTATTTATTTAAGAAGTCCACAGACAGCCATATACATATATATATATATATATATATATATATATATATATATATATATATATATATATATGTGTGTGTGTGTGTGTGTGTGTGTGAAAATATATAGAAAATAGGAAAGAACTCGTTAGGTAAATAATCCAAAGTTCTTTAGTATTTTTGTTATTATTTAAAAAAATAGTGCTCGATACAAAAGTAGAGCAGAAATATAATTATTTATTTAGAAATATGATTCCAACACGCTACATAAGAGTTCTCATGTTTCAAAACAAGAGCCGAAAAACTTCAATATAATTATTTGAATTAAAGTAAGCTCAGTTCCATCTTCAAGCGAAAATTTAAAAAAATATGAGAACTCTTATGTAGCGTGTTGAATCATATTTTTAAATAAATAAGCATATATATATATATATATATATATATATATATATATATATATCTTGTTCCGAAAAAAAGGTGCTGTATGGACAACTACCAAACTCCAAGTGTTCAATTAAAGACAACGTGAAATGTCTCAACTGTGATCAGAAAACCTGGGAAGCATCAAACCGAAAGGGGTGGCGTAAGACATGTTTAATCAAGTTAAAGTCTTTTGATGACAGTAGACTCAAGCACCGTGATCAGTTTCGTCAAGCTCTGAAGCAGAGATGCCATCAAAATCCTACTTTAACAAATTTCAACTGTCAGTGTGGCTTTGTCGCCTGCAGCAAGGCTAGGCTAGCATCGCACTTAAGAAAGCACAGATGAAATATGTCTTTCCTTTGCCTTACATAAGTGTAATACGAAAGGCACCATCCACTATTGACCCTCTTTTATCGTTCCCGATAGGAGAGTCCACCATATTTCTTGTTACTATAAACATTATTTTTAGTGGGTACACGAGTTTGATTTGCTATCCCTGTTTATTATTTTATTAAACAGTGGGGCTGGTTCTTATTAATTTCAGTGTTTAATAAAATAAAATAAAATAATTCGCTGTGATAGCAATACAAACACATGTACTCACAAAAAATAACGTTTATATTAATAAAATATAAAAGAAGCCCTGTAAATAAAACATCTCGCTCCCACTATCAATCTCACTTTGTTAAACAGTGGTAATACGGGGGGAGAGGTGTTAAATGTTTTCTAAAACCAATAAAAAGAAGCCCACTCAAATTCCAACCGTGCTCAGCACATAATGCTCCTACCAGTATTCAAAGGATACACACACACACACATACACACACAGATATATATATATATATATATATATATATATATATATATATATATATATATAATGCAGGAAATAGATCTGTTAGTATATAATCCAAATAGATCCTAATAATATCAAATAATATAAGATATCTACAAAGAGAGCTCAATGTATTTATTATAACAGAGCATATAAATTACACAGCAAAAAAAGAAAAAAAAATCGAAAATTATCTCATGTTTGTATAGATCTATTTCAGCCAACGCTAAGTGCATTGGTCTTATTCAACCTCACTGGATGAACTGTATCCGTATTGGAATCAGAGATTTAGAATTTGACTCCACAGTCGAAAAAATGATACCGAACTTACCCATATCGGCGCCTCAGCCAGACAAAATACCCGAGTTGTTGGTAAGGGGAGGATGGAAGGTATCTGTCTAAAAGGAAAGAGGCTCAACAGATTCAACCTAGATATTAACCTTATGACCATAAGTTGGGGTTATATTAAGAAGAAGTTGTTGAATTGAAGCTAAAAGAGGGCCGCAAAGGGATTTTTATATATAAACCAAATTTTTAATTATATATAAAAAAATTTAGGTTCCCACTAAAAAATACCAAATTGTACTTACAAATGAGATGCATTAAAAAGGTTAACAATAAATCGTATTTAGATAATTTATATAAAGAAAGAATATATTTTAAAAAATTATAATATTAAGGAATAAAAAATTTAAAGATAAAACGATTTAAATATAGAATGAATTATTTAATTTATAACTTTAAGGAAAAGTTAAAGTATTAGGGAAACTAAATTATATCAAGAAATATTTAAAAAAAACAACAACCCTGAAAAACACCAAATAAAAATATAATATTATATATATATATATATATATATATATATATATATATATATATATATATATATATATATATATATATATATATATATATATATATATATATATATATATATATATATATATATATATATATATATATATATATACAGGGTAGCAAAAAGTGTTTAACACATTAGTTTTTTCTTACATATCTCAAAAAATAACAGATCAATTTCAACGAAATTTATAGGAAATATTTAAACGAACATTGTCGATCAAAACATAGAAGGAAAATTTAAAACTGTTTTGAGAAACATTTATTAACAATAAATAAAATGAAATGAAGAAAAAAAAGGGAAAGCCAAAAGGAAGAAAAAGAAGAAAATCAGGTCAATAAGTAGATGAAGACGAGAAATATGTAAGAAAAGAAAAGGAAAAATAAGAAAAGGAATATAAGAATAGGAAATGGTAAACACACAAGAGAGAAAAAGGAAACAAAAATTTTAAAAAAAGATGAAGGAATATATAAAACTGGAAAAGAGGGAAAAGAAGGTAAAAGTAAACAGAAAAAAGTGAAAGAAGAAAAGAAAGAAAAAGGAAAAAGAAGAAAAGGAAGCAAAGAAAAAGGAAAAAGCAAAATAAAAAAGAAAAAGAATAAAATTCAAACCAATAAGAAGAAGATGATGAGAATAAAAGAGAAAAAGAAAAATGGTATGAGAATAAAAATGGAAAAAGAAAAATAGAAAAGAAAAAGAAAAATATAGAAAAAACAAAAATTACCAAAAAGATGAAGCAATATATAAAAATCAGGAAAAGAACGAAGTAAAACAAAAATGAGATCGAAGAAAAGCAAAGAGAAAATAGAAAAAAATAGGTGAAATGAGAAATAAAAGAAAAGAAAAGAAAGAAAAAGGAAAAAGGAAAGAGAAGAAAGGCAAAAGAATGAAATTTAAGTCAATAAAATGATGAAAAAGATAAAGAAGAGAAAAGGTTAAAGAAAAGCAGATGGAATAAAAGAAGATAAAGAAATACAAAACTTAAAAAGAGAGAAGGAAAAATAAAACAGAACAAAGGAAAAAAAAGAAAGGAAAAGAAGTAAAGTAAAAAGAAAAAGAATAAAAGAAACGAAAGAAAATTTAGATCAATAAGACGTTAAAGATATGACAGAAAAAGAAGAAAAAAAACGTTATAAGAGGAGAAGTGAAAAAGAAGAAAATGCAGATGAAAAAAAAAGAAGATGAATAAATAAGAGAAAAATACAGTATAAGAAGACAGAAGGAAAAAAAAAGAAAGAATTAAAAAAAAGACATGAAAGAAAAAAAATAGAATAAAATGAACATGAAGAGTGTAATGAAATATTAACAAAGAGAAAAAGAAAAGAAGAGAGAAAAAAAACAAGAAATGAAGATGTCAAAAAAAAGACAAATTCAGATGAAAAAGAGATTAAAGAAATAAGAGAAACGGACGAAGAAGAAGAAGAAGAAGAAGAAGAAGAAGAAGAAGAAGAAGAAATTGGAATGGAGGTTGTGTTTGTCAGGTGTAACTCTAGAACATAAATCAAACGCCAGTATGCCAAAATTGACATAGGGACAGAAAAGATGGAGGAGAGGAGACGGGAATGGTAAGGTTTTTGTTATGGCTCTTAGTGTCCAGAACAGAATTCTGTAATTTTCTTTTGTGATAGCGAGGAAGTGGGGGGGGGGCAAAAGATACCAGTCATCTTGGACAGAAATGAAGGGAGGCAGTAAACTGGAGACTGAGGATCTATGAAAGAAGAACAAAAGCAAAGCAAAGCAAGAAACAAAAAAAAAATCCAAAGCAAAGAAAAGAATTGAAGAACAAAAAAACAAATAAAAAAAAACAAATAGATGGAATGAAAAGGGAGGGTTTAGGGTTGATGGGAAAATGGTCTGTAGAAAAGTCTTCAACCAGCATGGGAATTTCTTTATTTCTATCCTGCAACAGCGCCAATTGTAACTTGGAAATATTATTTAGAATAAAGACATGCAATAACACCATCAGCTAAAATGATTCTGCCAAAACGTTATCTGTGTTATTCGAAGGGGACAGACACAATGGGACCAGGGCGGGTTTGAAGTGGGGAATGATGGCAGATTATTTTTGGTGGGCAGGAAAAGACAGTTTAGGAAGAGAGTGGTTCTTTTTTTTTTCTTTTTGATCGACCGCTTTTGTCAGACATAAACAGTTAGCACTGAGAGCATTTATTGGGCGATGGCCAGGAGTTTGGTATAGTGGAGGTTTCAGATAAATCAAGAAATAGTAACAAGATTTGGTTGAAAGATTCTCCAAGAATATCTCCAAGACCACAAAGGAATTACAATAGATGTCAGCAAAAGATTCTCAATTAAAAATCATTAAGTTCAATTCATATATATACTTGCTGCCTAAATATACCTCATATATAAACATATATACATACATATATATATATATATATATATATATATATATACATATATATATATATATATATATATATATATATATATATATATATATATAAATAAATATATATATATATATATATATATATATATATATATATATATATATTGAACAATAAAAAAAATTAAAAATCTTCAGACACACTGGGTTGTAGATTATATTCTTTCGTTTTTTTTTTTTATTATTTCAGTTAGTTTCCTCGACTAGTTTCGGCCCAAAAGTGGCCATCATCGGGAGGAGAAATATTTCTGCTTGCTGATATATATGACCTTGAATCTCGACTGCAGTCACTTTCTCACAGACGTGATGTGGCTCCTCTCTGTCTTTTGCAAGTATATTCATGGCAATTGCTCTAATTAACTATTTTTAATGGTTTTCCAACTGCATGAATTTAATTGTGCTAATTGTCCCGCCCTTTTACAGTCACAGCAGTTAAATGTAACCGCCTCTTCTACTCCAATACCTTCTTCCCTCGCACTTCCAGACGGTGGAACTCCCTTCCTGTTATTTGCTTCCCTGCTACATATAATCTTCAAATATACAAATGTAATGTCAATAACTATCTTCTGATGTCTTTGTCTTTAACCCCGTCCTTCTCTTTATCCTTTCCTTAAACGCTCCTCTTTACTCTTTCACACTCTGTAACCCTTTTTGCGTGCTAGTGGCACTCCCGCCATGCCTGAGATGAAATTATATATATATATATATATATATATATATATATATATATATATATATGTGTGTGTGTGTGTGTGTGTGTGTGTGTGTGTGTGTGTTGAGGGGTCCTTTTTTTTATACAAATGGACTCACCCAGTATATACTTATACTACTGCCAGTGAATACCCGAGGAGTCCAGTCGAGTCCAGAGGTACAGAGTGAAAGGTTGTAGGTAACCGGAAGAGTGAGGGTGAGGTAACAGTGTTGTAGGAGTCACAGTGAGCGAGCACGTAGTCTCAGTAAGAAGTCATACAGCGATACTTCAATAACAAAGACTGTATATATATTTTGCTACTAACCCGTATTCCTGGAACTACTAACTTGCTTTACCAGTTTGTTTTATTACGTTAATACATTATTTTCACATATTAATTCCTGGCGTTTGTTATTTATTGGTACCGGATTTCAACCCGGAATCCACAACAACATATATATATATATATATATATATATATATATATATATATATATATATATATATATATATATATATATATATATATATATATTATTTACATTATTCGGACTATTGTCCTCATCTTTGTCGCCATATTTATCATAGCGTTTCAGCCGTTGTACGCTCCGGCCTTCTTCAGGTGGTTGGAATTTCGAACTGAACCCTTCATTTCGCTCACTGGGGTAGACTGTTCTAGTTCCACGTGCCATGTTTGATGGATGTTAGTTATTAGTTATCTCCTGCTAATTTCCCTATTAAAGTTCTCCATTGCCTTAACCGGTTATTGAACTCACACTCTTTGGGTCCTGTCACTGGATCTAACCAACGCCTTTATCCACTGTGTCAGTGTCAGTTTATATAATTAACCATCAAAAATGGGAGAGGAACCAATACAAGTTGACAAAGAAAAGGGAAAATAAGCATTTATTTTTTGCATCTCAGACTAACAGATCAGTTCTTCTCTCTATCAATTCCCATCAGCATGGCTGGCAGTAAGAACAGGTGGCATTTGAACTATCCCAAGGAACAGTCAGCCTTTGTTTACAATAATTCTGGAACTGAACTCTGACTATAGACCCACAGTCGGAAATCCTCAATATCCGTTTTGTTGTCACTTGATCCCAAAAAATAATTTATTTATTCTTTTATTCCATTTTATTTGTGAATCACTGCTTCAAAGACCATATTTCATAGACTTTATCATAGATCAATTGAGACTGAGATAAAATCACGCACAATCCCCTTTATAACAGTGCGTTGCCTTCATTTGAATATTGGCAGATCTGCTAGTAATATGCAAATATTTCTTTTGCAATAACAATAAAAAGAAGAGACAAAAAATTCAGTTCAGGCGGCTAAAAACTTTGACACGGCCGTGTTTGCAGTTCAGATTGTATCTTTCCATCTTAGAACACATGCTAAAAAGATGAGATAATTACATATAGAAATTATTCCAGTACAACAAATATTTCATCTGCAGAAAATATGATGTAGAATATTCATTTATAAGCTGCTAGATTTTAGAAACTTACAATCACTAAAACTGACTATATATATATATATATATATATATATATATATATATATATATATATATATATATATATTTAAAAATTATGTGATCAGTCGATTCCGCTACCTCGGTTTCGACCATTCAGTATCGTCAGGCGGTTTGTATCAATTGATTTCCCAATGTTTTACTTTGATAAAATTATTAATGGATGCTTTATTATTTTAAAATTAAAAAAAATTAAATAAATGAACAAACGCACAATGTTGGGTATGATAGCAAGGGAGGAGGGTGTGAAGAAGAAGGCCTTTGATTCAAAAGGTTATTTGGATACAGGAATGTCATGATTGCTAACTTTTCTTCTTAGCAGAGGTTGAATGTATGAAGTGTTGATATAGAAGTCAATACAAAATTGTTACTGTCACCTTCATGTCATCATCAGGTGCTCGAGGGTCAATGAATTTATATATATATATATATATATATATATATATATATATATATAGATAGATAGATAGATAGATAGATAGGGAGAGAGAGACAGATAGGTATTTATACCTATCTATCTTTTCTAACATATAACTATGCACACATCTATCTATACTCACATCTATCTATCTCAGTGTGATCATGTCAATCTCTTTGCTATCTATCTATCTATCTATCTATCTATGCTCACATCTATCTCTATGTGTATCAATGCTTACATATATCTATCTATGCTCACACCCTTCTATCTATCTATCTATCTATCTATCTATCTATGCCTGCCTACATCAATAATCTGATAATCACTGAAGCTTTATCACTGCCATTATGCAGTGTTGATTTCTATGTCTGCACAGATTTTATCAACAAATGCACTATCCCTGATAACGAGAACACTTCCTCCATACATATTGCGAATTTTAAACTATTATATATATATATATATATATATATATATATATATATATATATATATTGTCATACACAGACAGACTGTTTTGCTGTATCACAGCTCTTCAGTGTGGCTAGACGTCCGGTTGCCTCTAGCTAAGATCGAAACCTGGTTGAATTGGCGTCAGTCAGAAATTCTACCCCTCAGCTGGTGGTGCATATACATATACTCCGTCTGTGGATGACACATACATACGCCCCTGAAAATATAAAAAAAAAATCGGTTGAGCACTTTAGAGGGAAAAGCACGAATTTGTAAACAGTGACTGCTTCTGTTGAGGCAAAAAGCACTTCTATGAATTGAGCACTCTGAGACACTGGCGTGTTTATCCTAAAATAAATACGAAGAAATTCACCTCCCACTCTGCAGGGAGCTGATAGCTCAGGGAATAATATCCGACTGATGCCAAATCGATTGGGTTTCAATCCTGGCTTGAAGCAATCGGATGAATTCGGCTCACATTCTGGAGTTCTAAACATGATATTATATTATTATATGTAAGACCCTTCCTTTTAGTTTCTCCTTACACTCTGCTTTGCTGTATAGATATATGTCATATATTTTTTCTCGTGTGACACATGGATATATATATATATATATATATATATATATATATATATATATATATATATATATATGTGTGTGTCTTAATATTATAACGTCTCTCTGAGAAGAAAGCATGGTTGTCATTCCTTTTACTTACAGACATTTTGTTCTGTTCGTGAAGTAGAGTGTTATTATATCGCCATCTTTAAAAGGCAGGATGTGTGTGTGTGTGTGTGTGTGTCTGTGTGTGTGTGTGTGTGTAACGAATGCACATCCGCAATTTTCGACGGATTTGCACCAAAATTCACATGCACATGCTCCAAGTGAGCGGGAAGGCCAAGACTGACTTCGCATTTCCCAACTCCCATCGATAGTGGAAATAATCGATTTTTTTCATGCTTCTACGGCAGTTTTTATCTAGTTTGCGGCCATTTTCTACTGGCCAGAGTG